TCCGCACCTTGATGGAAATAGATATATATATTTTTTAGACCAAGAGCTTGTTTTGGGACCAGGTACGAGGCCTTGTCCGCACCTTGATGGAAATAAGACATATATTTTTTTTAAGACCAGGAGCTTGTTTTGGGATTTCCCCGCCTCCCGCTGTTGCGGGGTGCTTACTTTCAGTGCCGTCCGCCTCGGCCTGCTCCTCGCGCTGCCTTTGCTTGAACTTCATGTTGCCGAAGTGCATGATGGCGCCCACTATTTTATAGCAGCCGTACTTCTCTTCCGGCAGGAAGCCGAGGATGTCCATGGCGTGCTGCGGGGGGCGATCTGGTTATTTGAGGTCGCCCAACCGGGAGACGTAAAGGCTTACATCGGTGGCCATCAGCTCCTGTCCGTCGTCCAAGTTCTCCACAGTGGTCACCCCCTGAGAGCAGAAGTGGTAGTCGTACGGGTTGGACGACACCAGCAGCATGTCTGCAACAAAAGAGTTTGGAATAAGGCATCGTGTCCGACACATTTCAAGTCGCCCATCACATCACCACCTAATAGTTCGGGTTTCTTCTGCGACATCATCTGGTAGTAAATGTGGTAGCTCCTTTCGCCCGGCTGCTGGAATATCACTCTGGATTTTTCCAGAAGATCTGAGTGGCAAAGAGAGAAAGAGATGCGATGAGGTCATTGAACAGCTCCCCCGCTCTCGAGTCACCGTGTCAATGTTTGAGGAGCAGACTGTTGAAAGAAGTACTGTGAATCGCAACGGGGATCACGAATGAGACGGTTTAGACCCAGAAGGAACGCTGGATCCGCCTGAAATTTTTGCTCTTTCGATTCCCAACCATCCATTCGCCCGTGACTTTTCTCTTTCATTTAATCTTGCAGGCTTCCCCGATAGCTGGAGCCAATCGCAGAGCCACTAAATAGTCAGCTATCAAACATTGTTGCGACAAAACCCAAAAGAAGTACGATGTAGTCAAGGGCTAACTAGCACCCGCTGGTGCCGCTCCCCCACTCCAACCTGCCTAAGATGAGTCGGCCAACTTACAGATATCAACGTCAGCAGAAGCAAGTTTCCCGGAGGGGCCAAAGTGGATCCTGATGAACTTTCCCTGTGGGGGGGGAGAAAGGAGCCGTGTTTTTCACAGAGTGCATGCTACGCAAATACAACCAAGCGATGATGAATGCAAAGGGCCTGGTTTTTGGAAAACGCTCACAAAGCGGGATGAGTTGTCATTCCTCAATGTTTTGGCATTCCCGAACGCCTCCATGGCAGGGTTGGCCTCGATGATCTGATCCTCCAGAGTTCCCTGAGAGACAGAAGTCAGATTGGGGTCAATCATCGCGCGCTGTTTTCGTTTTAAAGAGGCTCCGTGTTGTTGTCACTCACCCCCGTCTTGGTGGCAGGACCTTGCTGCAAGTCGCCAAGAAAAAAAAAAAAAAAAAGGTGTGAGAGTGATATCGTGTCAAAACTGACTCTATGAGACTTTCACAACAAGGGAACATCATGTCCAATAGAAGCCGTTCGTTAAAAGCAAAAAATTAAAATAAAAAAATAAAAAAAGACATCCACATTTTGTATGATGACGTGTCGGGCAGGGGGATGAGTATCAAACCACATAGGAATGTCAAAAATCCAGGAAAATATTTGAATCAAAGCAAAAAAAATGAAGGCAAAGAAAAAAAAAACATTCCAAATTCAAGAATAGAGCATTGCAAAAGGGGCTGCAAAGCGCATGAGGGTGAAGACAAGATGAGAATGGAAATGTAGGGGAGTACAATACGGGATTCTCGCCATGGAAAAAGTCAAAAATCAAAAGGAAAATCAAAATCAGGGCAAAATGAAAGGCAAAAAAAAAAAAAGGATTGAAAAAGGGAGGAGGAGGAGAAAAAAAGTACAGTTGCCACGTTTGCCTTACTGCTTTCTTAGCAGAGGTTTCCCCAAGAGCTGCCACAATGGCAAAATACTGAATGACACGTTTCGTGTTGACAGTTTTGCCAGCACCGGATTCTCCGCTAGGAGTGTGAAAAATGACAGGTGAAGCAAAACAGAACCACACATGGTCGTTGGGAGAGACTGAAAAACAAAGTGAAAAATCCTCGGAAGAAAAATGCCTCAGCCTACACTTTAGCTCGTTTCAAAGAACGGCTGGCCAATCTGTGCGAGCGGGGAGGGACTTACGTGATAAGCATGGACTGGTTCTCCCGATCTGAAAGAGAGGGAAGATTTGCCGCGTTCACCTTCATGTACAAAGTGCCATCTCCATGCTGTGTGTGTGTGTGTGTGTGTGTGTGTGTGTGTGTGTGTGTGTGTGCGAGAGACGCTTACTGCGCAGCATGTCATTGTAGGCATTGTCTGCGATGGAGTAGATGTGCGGGGGCGCCTCCGAGCGGCGTTTGCCCTTGTAGGCGGCGACCACGGGGGCCGTGTAGACCGGCAGCCATTTGTACGGATTCACCGTCACGCAGAAGAGCCCCGAGTAGGTCTAAAGGCCGCGGCGGGACAGCACATATGGTTCTTCGTTGGAGAATCGGGCGAGTTGGCGAAAGGTCCCGGCCGACCGTGGGCCTCACTCACGTAGATCATCCAGGCCGAGTAGCGTCTGCGCATGTTGAAGAGGACCGAGGCTTCGTTGAGATGCGTCAACATGGCCATGTCTTCGATCATGTCGTACTTGGGCGGGTTCATCTGCTGGATGTCGCTGTCCTTCACAGTCAGAGTCTGCGCAGACGCCGAGCGGACGCGATGAGGTTGGAGCGACGACCTCGCAAGCGAAGGGCACCTTCGGCACCTCGGCGCCTTACCTTGCCATTTTTGGTCTGAACGATGACTTTGTCCCCACTCAGCTCCTTGATCTCGATCTCGACGTACGCCTCTTTCTCATCGGGGATCCATGCTCGCTTCTTACCTGGGGAGAGGGCGGACCGCGCCGATGAGTTCAATGTGGGGGAAAAAGACAAGGCGTGCGCAAAACACGTCTTCGCGTTCCTATAAGACGGCATTTGGAACAACAATTTCAAAACCGTAAGCAACAAATGAAATAGTTGACTTGCTTTTCCCGGATCATCTCGAATTATTGCAAGGCCTAATATTGCTCTTCGGAGCCATCGCTTTCGATGGAACTTCTGGTACATATATCGATGAGTCATGCAGCTGCACTGTCAAAAAATAAAAAATAATGTCAGGGGAACTCCAAATTTCAAGGCCACCAGCTTGGATAACATTTGAAGTTGGGTGATTCCACTAACTTGTGCAAATTGGCTTTCCTGCATTTCATAAAGAAACAAGAGTTGACATTCTCCCTTTTATTGAACCCCACCTTAAACATTTAAAAAAAAATTTGGGGGGCAAAAGATGTTATCATTTTATAAGTGAAAGTTTTTCCAAATTAGATGATCGTATTAGGCCCCAAAATACAAGTTGTGCTTTTTTTTTTTTACAGTGTACTAAACTATAGTTGGACTAAATGGTCGAGTAATATTAATACCATATGTACATTGTATTATATTTTTCTTAATCCTAAGTGGTTCTCTTTCTCCATGTTTGTCACTTTAGTGACAAGCATTTTCTACTCTCTTGCATAAAAACCGAGTTACATTTGCAATATTGCATTAGTCTTTGGCCCACGGTTGTATTAAAAAAACATTTCGTTGTACATTAACTTTTCTGACACTGGATTGTTGTTTTGTTTTTTTGAAGAACCCCAAAGTGTAGCACAGTAGCTTTTTTTGTGTGGAATTTGAGATTGTGGAAGGAGGCCTACCGTCAAAAGCGACAGTTTGCACCGTCAGTTGCTCCAATTCCGACTTGCGTAAAAAGGGAGCCGCTTCCCCGAACTCTTTCATGTCAAAACGGGACATGTTTCCACCTTGCCGACAGCCGGGCCCACGCGTGCCGTTCCTTCGAGCAAAATACAGCAAATGGCGTTAGGGTGTTATCACTTGATACTTCTTTCGAGAGGATCGACAAGAAAGCAAACGCTGCGTAAAAAAAAAACAAAAGAGCGCAAGCGCCCCCCAAATTACTCGAGATGACCACAACGAAGACGACGAGCAGGCTGATTGAATTCAAATGGAGAGTTTCAAAAAAAGAAAACGAAAAGCAACCCACCTAGGAAATGCAAAGAGCCGTCCGCTGACTTGCCTGGGAAATAACGGCGGGCTGAGAGGCGGCCTGCTTTATAGCGTGTCGTCAAGGTCACGGTCGGTGGACATTTGTCCCTCATTAGTTTATGCCGCCTCCTCCGGCGCTCATTGGTGACGAGCGCCCGTCTCAATTGTCACAAAAGGAAAGCGACGTTTTTGTCATTGCGCTAAACCGAAGCGGGCTATTTTGGTAGCCGACTGATTTCGTGCGCTCGGAACGCGGCGGCCACCGCGGAATGCCGCGTTTCTCGTGTCCGACACGAGTTGAGGATGTTTGGGAGACGCTCGCTCCCACGCGCTCTCAAAACGAGGGAAGAAAGGCCTTGGGCACACGTAAGAACGCAGTGAGGGGATTGTTTTCGCTCGTCCAAACGCTCTTACGTCGTTCGCCTTGTGAGAAGTGGACCGGGATGTTTGCTATTGTGTTTGGCCCCTCTGCGGATGCAACCTTCGAGGAGTATTTCGGGAGCTGTGGAGCATTAAACAAGTTACTATAAATACACAACTTTTTATGAATAGAGAGAATGATGGCGTGGCACCGATGCAACAAAGTGTGCAGTTGCAAAGTTAAAAGTGACCCAATTTGTTGACAATGTGACTTTTTGGGGGGCGAGGGAGGCAGTCAAATAGTCACGTCGGGCCTCACTTTCCGTCTTCTCTTTTATGGAGTCATTTTGTTGCTGGCGCACTCAGGCTTGGACAAATCTGACCTTGAAAGCAAGGGGAAAGGTTGGAGAGCGCTATGCGGGGAGGGACACTGGAGCACAGCTTCTCAGAATAGACAAAGCCAGAGTCCAGAATTCCTCAGTGGGACATTGAGTCGTCACGGCGACCCGCGTCGGATACTTGCAAAGAACCCACCAAGGTGAAGTCATATGCAGAAAAACGAGATATGAACGAGCCATCTGCGGGCGTTGTCATTTATTGTCTCGAAGCGGCGGCCATCTTTGCGGACGGCCTTATCGGTGGCGGTGGCAGACGACGAGGTGTCGCCGCGATGGCTCCGACGTTGTCGGGCATCAGTGAGATAGAGCTGGCCAGAGCTATTCTGGGAGAAGGGGCTCTTCAGAGCGGCCCGGGCTGCTTTATGTACTGTGTCACCCGCTGCGGCGTTTGAAAAGCTGCCATGTTGATAACACACGAGGAGGACCGATGAATCCCAAAGTCCCCCGAGCTCCTGGCTTTAAATAAGTCTGTAAACACACGCACACACAAACACACGCACATTGATATACAAACACATAGTGGAGCGTTTACAGCGCTAGCGTACCCCCCACCCCCCGGCCCCCAACAGCACATCTCTCTGCACCACTCGGCTGCAACCTTCCGCAACAGCTGACTTGTCCGGGTCAAAGCTCTCCTTACATCCCCGGTGTTGTTCAAAATCATTTCGACCAATGCGGCCAGGCCCGTCAACGCTCCTGCTTTCGCGCAGGTTTAAATAACTGCACCTTTGCGTACAAAATAACTCGACTCAAGTGCCACTGAGGGCCTCTCCTCCAAAATGTGAGGTTAGCGCGTCCCGGCCGCATTGTGGGACCGGAGCGGCTGTCACGTTGGTGATGTGCGAGCGCCGAGCCGACATTTTGGGCATGGAGACTTGCTCTGCGGGTCGCTGACAGTTGTTTTAGATCATCATGCGCCGAATGCCTGCCGGATTAGGCGTCGAGATGGAGAGAGATTGGGAATTACGGCCGCAGTCCTTTTCATCAGTGCTTAATCATACTTGACACAGCCCAACCCGATCTCCGTGTCGGACCTCTGCACAGGTGCCGTCGTTAATCACAAAGTGAAACACCAAAATATAAAATCAAAAGCAACTGCTGCTGCCTTTCAAAATAGCTTCAACACATTTGAAGGCCGGCGAAATATGCCGTAGCCTGAAGAGGACCGCCGGGCCACAAGTCGACTTGTTTGCAACTGCGTGTCAATGCAGGAATTTGAATATTTGGCCGAGACGTACCACGATATAATCGTGTGATCCTAGTCTGAGGGTTTTTATATATGTTGTCTGGTGAAAATAATGAAAAAGACGATTTCATAATTGATCATATTTCGCCCTGTTCTGTCAATCTAAAATAAAACCGTACTCTGTCACCGCAGCCCATACAATAAAAAGGTCGGCGAGGCAGCGTTTGGATCAAAGCATTCATCGGCGCTGGATATTTCTGTAAACGCCTGATGGGCGAGCGCAGCGCATTGCAGCACTGCTGCAGGCTCAGCCCTCAGCCCTCGGGTGTTCGCATGGGAGACGGGCTGGCGCGTGGCACAAACACACCTTAAAGCCTCAATTATTCTTCCACGCTGACTGTGGTCCCCTGACATCCACTTGCATAGCCGCCCCCTACACACACACACACACACACACACACACACACAGAGGAGCTAATCAGTCTCGTAGCTATTAGCCCGTGGCTCCAGACAATGGTCACGGCTCCGATTGCCGCGGCCAGGCCTGCCTTCCACTATGCGCGGCAGCTCTCAGCTGTCTTTCTATTTGGGGACTATGCGGGCATACCTCCCCCTAGCTGGGTCACCAGAGACAATGGACATGCTGCCTTATCCAAACAGAGGCCCGCAGACAATCTGACGCACTCCAGGATCCCAGCGAGAGCCCTGCCGCCTCATCGGCCCAATAAAACTAAGTGAAAGGGTTAACAAGACTAAACACATGCTCTGCATTATGAGTGATGGCAAGACGGTCGTGAGCTCCACCCTGTCTCATTCCCTCATGTTGAAAAGGAGATACTGGCCATGTCAACACGTCAGTGCGATACATCACTGAGACTTTTACAGACAGTCACACAGCTTGTCTAACTCAAACCTGGTCGCAACTCGACTTTGGAGCCCCTAAAAGAGAGGAAGGCGACGGAGGGGGACAATTTGTAGCCAGGACTGAGCACTCGCGATACCTCTTATTATTTGACCTCTTGCTGCACATTTCTCATTTGGAACCCAATGTGCCACTAATTCGTGGAAGACAGCACATGTAACCCTTCTTCATTTCGGCGGTTCCACAAATAAGCGAGCCAACTTCAAAATGGCGCGCCTTGGCAACCCCTGATGAGTGGGCATGTTTGTTTCCTCTTCTTCAATGCAATACGTCTTCATTTCTATGGCGCCTTGACAACAGCTGCATAAGCGCTTTCCACAACATCCATCCATCCATCCCTTTTCCTCACGAAGGTCGCGGGGGTGCCGGAGCCTATCCCGGCTGTCGGCAGGGGACACCCTGAACCAGTTGCCAGCCAATCGCAGAGCACACATAGATGAACAACCATTCGCTCTCAATTACGCTGAGGGACAATTTCGAGTGCCCCGTTAACCTGCCATCCATTTTTGGGGAATGTGGGAGGAAAGCGGGGTGCCCGGATGTACATGCTACGCTTTAAGTTGTAGTTTTGTAATTGTTTATATTTTTTATCTTGGCACCTTTCATTGAAATTATTTTATGATAGTGCCTTTGTAATGGAGCTGTCATTGGAAAAGAGAGCTTGCTCTCGACTGGCCCTCCTCCATCAAATAAAGGTGGTAAGAAATGAAAACATCGAGCTCCAACGGTCACCTGGGCCTTAAGTCTGACACCTGTGCTCCGAAAACAAAAATGTTCATATCTTGTGTGCAAGCGAAACTAAATGAAGCTCTCAAGAGAATGCGCCAGAAAATCAAGTCGCACACGTGATGCAAACAAGTGTCATGCAAACAACACGAACGCACGCCGAGCGACAGCCGGAACGTCACCGAACATGAACGGAATCGAATACGCACAGACGCACAAAGTTTTTTTCGCCCCTATTTCCTCCTCCCAACGTTCGCGCGTGACTTGGGACAAGTCCGGAGCCGCATTGAGCCGGCCAAAGAGCCACATGCGGCTCGCGAGCCGCGGGTCGGCCACCCCTGCCTTACGTCATTGCCACTTGTACATCCTTTCTTTGTTTAGCTTTCTGAAATCATCATGCGCGTTTCGTAGTGACTTGCCCTTGTCGTCCTTTAGTTGGTTTATGGCGGTGTCTGGTATGTTTTGGATTTGACGGGCCTGCAGTCATGATGTTACTTTCAGCATGTGACCCCAGCAGAGAGCGGAATGATGCGCCTGGTGCACTCGTATCACGGGGCACACACACGTTAGTGTGTCATGTGACAGCAAATCCAGAACATGCTCACAGGATACCTGGATCCCGTCCCCTCCTGCTGCTCCACAGTTTCACTCTCGGAGGAGACACGGCCTCATCTCGTGCGCCGCGAGAGCCGGCGGTTGTCCGCAGATGGCCGCGCTTTGAAGATATTTGCGAGAACCCCACCTGCTATGCTTGGCAACTGCTCCAACACAAAGAGAAGGAAATGACATGCACAAATGTTTTGGGAGTTCAATTACATTGGCGCTTCGCTCTAACAGTGTGAACAAATGCGACAAATGCGGCATTAGAATCAAAGTTGTCACCTCAGTAACGCTTGGTGAAGAACAACGCTGACTTGCTGCGGATATTCATACAACGGATCCCTCCCAAAGGAAAGCTGAACTAAGACGACAATACTTGATTGCTCTTGGTTTGTAGAAATTTGGTATGTCTGTCATTTGGATTTGACTCGGTTTATTTGACCCCGCCCCCCCCCAACCCCAAATCAAGTGATTAGGGAACATACAATCGCCCAGATTCCAAAAGCAAGAATGAGGTACACACGTTTTAATTGCCTGCACTTTTACACTATCTATAAAACCACTAAGGGGCAAAACTATTCACACAGGAATAATAACTGTTTTGGTGTCTGAGTTTTTTCGAAGAAATGTTCAGTTTTGCTATCGCCGCTTCAAAATCTTGAAAATGGTGACAGATTAAGGCATATTGTAAATGTCGCCAGCTGCCGCAACATAAACATATTTTGAAAGAGAATACAACCTTTGTAGTATGGTCATTCAATCGTGCACTACAATTGAGGAAAAAAAAAATAAAAAGGTCAGCAACTCTTGATCGCACAGGATAACCAATCGATCCATTTTCGAGCGCTTCGCCTTTCCCTGGTCGCTCATCAACCACCAACCACGACGTACATGATAAACATTCATTCACACTCACGTTCACACCTGCGGGCCATTTATAGTCTTCAATTAACTGAACAAGTGTGTTCTTGGAATACGCGAGGAAGCCACGAGCAAAAGTGTTGACTCCACCCAGCAAAGCCCGATGAAGATTCAAACCACCAAAATCTGACTGGGAGGCGAACGTGCAAGTGAACGCGCCGAAGCGGGCCACCCTTTCGTCTTCATGACTTGACTCGAGATCAGTTCTTGCCACCCGGCTCTCTCCTGGGGCCCCTCACACCGCCTGACAACATTTTACAGCAAGCTGAAGCTACAGAGCAGAAGCCTAGCAGGTGAACACGGCCCCGGGGGATGCTTTCTTCTCTGGGACGTGCCGTCCCGGAAGGATCAGCTTGGAATTCGGGCAGTGCTGCTTCATGGCGGCGGGCACCCGCAAAAACAGCTGTCCAAGTGTCTGGACAGCTGCTTTGCGGGTGCCCCAACTCTGCTCCTCTCACCTCCCTCCACACCGCAGCAGCGTGTCAGCCAGTGGGCCTGTTGTCATCCGCTGGTTGGCAGGCCAAGCGAGTGTGAACAGCGGCGGCTGGGTCCCAGATACGTTGTATTGCATTTTGGAAGATTCCAAACATAGATGAACCACATTGAGAGATGATCCGGTCACTAATTTGCATCTAAACAAGCAATGGACTGTAATTTACACACGAAACTCAAGTTATGGAACAAGCTGTACTTGAGACGTTAACCGATGGCGCCCCCTGCCGTCTAAAAGTGTTGAGTACAAGTTGATTTCGAGCTGTCACGTGGCCTCTGACGTGACCAGCCCAAATGAGCGACGACGATGCGATACTTTATTTTGCTTTTGTCTTTTCATTTCGTTCTTGTGTTGGGTGTTGCTTCGTGTGACGTCATGAAAAGAGTAGTTGGCCATACACTGCTGCTTGCTCAGAGAAGTGTTAGCGCTATCTCATTTGACTTTTGCGTTGGATTGAAATGGGAGAAGGAGCAACACGGAACTTGAACACAACAGAAACCTCAAACGGAAAAGAACGAACCACGCCAAATTGTGTTTCGCACACATGTCCAAAATGTGCAAATGTGTGACGACGCCCGAGTGCGACTCCCACGGAAAAATCTTGGATGCTCTTACTTTCAATTTTCAACTCTAATAGCACTTGTGGGAAGACATTGCTCAAGATGTGTCTGTCGGAACTATTGGCTAATCAACCAGAAGAATGTTTATGAGGCCACTGATAATGTATGGGAGGCCTGAATGACAACCTCTCTTGAATCCATCCAAGTATTTATTCTCAATATTTTCTTTTCATGCAGAATTGCTCACTGACCACGTGTCTACTGGCGATGCTTCTCTGTTATAGTTCACCTCAAATGTCATCATCCTTTTGAAGTCAGGGCTCTTCCACTCCAAATGCATCCACCCAGATGCTAAAAGGCCTTGCTGTGTATCGTACGCTTGGGAATACAGTACTCCTGCTGCCGAAACTCATCAAATAATCCAAACGATCTTCTTGCCTTTTTTGCTTGTGGGTCATTGTCACGCTTTGACCAGCAGAGGGCGGCATCCTCAGTTTCTTCGCGGTCTCCTTTGGGTTCACAAAACTCCAGAGGAGAACGACCAGGGCACTGTGGTAGTACATCACGGGATTAGCAGGGGGCGCGTTAGTCTTCCCTTCGTCTGACACATAAATCAGGAAGAAAAAAAAATGTCCCACACTCATATTTTGTGGTCAGTGTGCATTCTGAAGGTGGAGTCCGGGTGGAGTTGAGCAGCAAAGAAATTCTTAAAGGGCCCGCAGCAAATCTGGAAGCGAGGCTGTGAAGATATACATTCTCAAAAAATACCGGGGATAAAAACACCTGACTGTCTTGGAACTGTATTTTCGCATTGAAAATGCTACCAAATCGGTTCAGGACTGGGACCCGAGTTGTCACTGTAGTTGCTTTGTTCAGATGTGTAATTTCTACTGGTCAATAATCCTGGACCCTGATATGATTGTGAGAAACACCAACGTCACAGTAAGTCCGTCTGAATGGGAGGAAGTTTAGTCATAGTTACTCATAAATGAATTTGACCAGCTGGAGTTGCGAGAGTTAAGTCAACAACTTGAACATTTTTGCACTTTTGGTTTGTTTTGGCCTTGCGACATAGCCAACCCGATTTATGACGAGGAGCTCACATCCGGTGGGCACGGTGTCATTTCTTGCTTTGCCGCACATTGACGGGTGCCCATTGAATCCAAATATTCTCATAGAGGTCTTGAAGTTCATTGCGGTGTCATAGAAGGCCCTTTGGTGCAATTGCTGCATCGTTGTCGAATTCGGAAAGTGGGTTCATGCTGTTTCCTCTTGACATTTGCCCGACAGGCTTCTGCTTCTTGGGTGATGAAGCTCAATCCTTTTTGGGACCTCTTATTGACAATCGGGACCTTGATTGTCGACCTTGCCAATTACTCGGCCTTTCGCATGCCACGTCGGAGACTGGACACCACAAATGTCCCATGTCGGCAAGCGGCACCTTCGACTGTTAGCTGAGAATATGGCAAAGCCTCGCTGCATGGACATTTGCTCCAGAAGAATTTTATGAGTGAGCAAATGCCTGATGGACCGAGGACATGAAGAGAAGAGGTTTGCGTGTAAAATGAGCGCATGTGTCAAGAGCTCCGTGCCATCCTCTAATAAAACCCCGCCTCGTTATTTTCAATATAGAATATTGGTGGTTTGAACAAAGAGCGATGGAAATGCTTGTGTTTCTCAATGACAGGAAGGGGCTATCGCAGAGGAAGTGGAAGTAGGAGCGTCCCTCTCACAGTCACAAAAGCCCCCGCGGTCGGCCACTTGCCTGCCTGCCTGCCTGCCCGCCTTTTTTTTTCCTGGCGCCAGGAGTCTCCACACCTCCCCTTCGCCTCCTCACAAAGCCCCCCACCCCCACCCCCCACGGATAATTCAACCCAGCTGTTGCAAGGTGCCTGCTCTTCCAGTGATGGAAGGACCCTTTGCCAAAGTCAAAAGTACCACGGCAGCAATGTAAACACGCATCGCTCTCGAGAGCACGGAAAGACGGTCGGGGTAGCAGTAAAAACAAGAGTTGGAAGAATCAAGTCATTGTAGCTGCTGCAGGTGGAACCACTTTCACATGCAGATCACGTTGAGGTTTTGATAAGAGGAGAAAGGCGGGAAACAAAGATCAAGGCACAAATCTGCTTTTTGGTTTTGGACGCTTTGGTTTTATACAACGCTTGCCACCTTCAGACGAACTCGCATTTACCAACACAATCCTGTTTTTGAAATTTGCGAAGAAACGAGAGTGGCGTGAGAAAACTTGGAGTCCGTTGAAAGTGAGCATGATCAAGAAGGCTTGAACGAGCTTGCGTCTGGGATGAATAAGATTGCTGTCGGCTCTTTGGGAGGCCTGTCGACCTGTGCTCGGGGTCTCACTGGTCAGATGCCGGCCAATCGCATGCGGGCACGCTTCCTGGTTCCTGCCTTGCAAACAACTCCCGAACGGAATTGAACGGCGACATGTGGAAGCGCACGTTCGCCGGGATCGCGATGCTCGATGTTTACCCCCCCCAACGCCGGTTCTTTCACTGACCTGAATGTTTTTTGGTCATCCGTCGAACGGTCTGGTCTTAATGAGAAGGAATGTGTGTCACGCGAAGGGGAGAGGCGGACAGAATCCAGCCCTTCATTGGAATCACATGAAGAGCATGTGCATCCTCAGTGATCCAAGCGATACCGAGGAGATTTAGGATAAATGCCGAGGAATGTTTGTCAAGTGGGACAGAGAAACAAAAGGCCGAGAGCTGCAATTTTCACCGCAGGAGGGTCAAGAAACGTGAATTATGCTTGTTTCATTTCATAAGGTGCCTCTCTGTCTATGCTCTGACCACATCGGGAGATTGTGTTGAAATTTAGGGGAACCCCGAGCTTTTGATCCCCAATCCGCAACCCCCCAACACTGCTGAGTAATGGCTCGCAAGTCAACTGACTACATATGTGTGTGACAGAGGTTTGGATTGTTTTTCACAAGGCGGCAGCGGTGCGGTTGCCTTCTAGCACAGCGGCGGATGGTTATCAGAGACAGAGGCCCGACCGAGGGGGCGGCCGAATGGTACAAAGAGCTGTTCTGCTGGAACGCTGCACGGGGAAAAATAGTTCATGCTGCACTGGGATTTCCTGCCTTTGCCCGACCAGCCTCTCCCCCTTCTGTCATCTCACAGCCCCCTTCGCCAGGCCGAAGGCGCTCGGGAACC